AAATATATAACCAAAAAATTAACATGTTTCTAACAGATATTTTTAGATAAACATGCAAAAGATAAAAACAGATTTAACACTTAACAGTGGGTGCTTATTCTATACAAATGTGATTTAGGACAGAGAATTAAAGAAGGAAGAAACAATTTCCAAAAAAAAGGGAGACTTGTGCAAACTAATGTTGATAGCATGTCATAAGCTAGGGAGGATGAACCGCTCATTCTTTGCACAGAGCAGAAAAGAAAAATCAACCCGTTGAACTGGGTTCAACATTTGTCTTAGATTTGCCCTGTTGGCTGTTTTGAAAACCCATTATTTTCTTTAAAACCATGCAAATAGCTTTTATTATTTTGTGATAGGTGCCATCTATACCTAGTTTATTGAGAGTTTTCAGCATAAAGGGCTGTTGAATTTTGTCAAAGGCCTTCTCTGCATCTATTGAGATAATCATGTGGTTTTTGTCTTTGGTTACGTTTATAGACTTGCGTATGTTGAACCAGCCTTGCATCCCCAGGATGAAGCCTGCTTGATCATGTTGAATAAGCTTTTTGAGTTGCTGTTGCATTGTTTCCAGTATTTTATTGAAGATATTTACATAGATGTTCATCATGGATACTGGCCTGAAGTTTTCTTTTTTGGTTGCATCTCTGCCTGGTTTTGGTATTAGGATAATGTTGGTCTCATAAAATAAGTTGGGGAAGATTCCCTCTTTTTGTATTGTTTGGAATAGTTTCAGGAGGAGTGGTACCAGCTCCTCTTTGTACATCTGGTAGAATTCGGCTGGAAACCCATCTGGACCTGGGCTTTTTTAGTTGGGAGGCTATTAGTTGCTGCCTCAACTTCAACCCTTGTTATTGGTCTATTCACGAATTCAACTGCTTCCTGATTTAGTCTTGGGAGTGTGCTAATATCCAGGAATTTATTCATTTCTTCCCTATTTACTGGTTTGTACATGCATAGAGTTGTTTGTAGTAATCTCTGATGGTAGCTTGTATTTCTGTGGAGTTGGTGGTGATGTCCCCTGTATTGCTTTTTATTGCATCTATTTTATTCCTCTGTCTTTTCTTTTTTATTAGTCTGGCTAGCAGTCTATTTTGTTGATCTTTTCAAAAAACCAGCTCCTGGATTTGTTGATTTTTTTGAACTTTTTTGTGTCTTTATCTCCTTCAGTTCTGCTCTAATCTTAGTTATTTCTTGTCTTCTGTTAGCTTTTGAGTTTTTTTTTAGCTTGCTCCTCCTACATTTTTGAAAATGTAATGCTCTTTCCATTTTGATGATAGGGTGTCAATTTTAGACTTTTCGTTGCTTCTCATGTGGGCATTTATTGCTATGAATTTCCCTCTAGACACTGCTTTAAATGTGTCTCAGAGATTCTGGTGTGTTGTGTCTTCGTTCTCCTTGGTTTCAAAGAATGTCTTTATTTCTGCCTTCATTTCATTGTTTATCCAATCTACATTCAGGAGCCAGTTGTTCATTTTCCATGAAGTTGTGCAGTTTTGAGTTAGTTTCTTAATCCTCAGTTCTAATTTGATTGCACTGTGGTTTGACAGACTGTTTGTTATGATTTCCATTCTTTTGTATTTGCTGAGGAGTGATTTACTTCCAGTTATGTGGTTAATTTTAGAGTGAATGCAATGTGGTGCTGAGAAGAATGTGTATTCTGTGGAATTGGGGTTAAGAGTTCTGTAAATATCTATTAAGTTTACTTGGTCCAGATTGCATTCAAGTCTTGGATTTCCTTGCTGATTTTCTGTCTTGTTGATCTGTCTAATGTTGACAGTGGAGTGTTAAGTCTCCGGCTATTTTTGTGCAGGAGTCTAAGTCTCTTTGTAGGTCATTAAGGACTTGCTTTATGTATCTGGGTGCTACTGTATTGGGTGCATATATATTAAGAAGAGTTAGCTCTTCTTGTTGTATTGATCCTTTTAACATCATGTAATGCCCTTCTTTGTCTCTTGATTTTATTGAAGTCCATTTTATCAGAGACTAGAATTGCCACTCCAGCTTGCTTTTGTTCTTCATTTGCTTGGTAAATCGCCTTTCATCCCTTTATTTTGATTCTCTGTGTGTCTTTGCATGTGAGATGGGCTTCCTGAATACAGCGCACCAATGGTTCTTGGCTTTTTATCCAATTTGCCAGTCTGTGTCTTTTGATTGGGGCAGTTAGTCTGTTAACATTTAATGTTAATATTGTTATGTGTGAATTTGATCTGGCCATTTTATTACTGGGTGGTTGCTTTGCCCTTTGGTTGGCATAATTTCTTCATTGTGTCTTTTGTTTTTACCATGTGTTTTTTTTGTTTGTTTGTTTGTTTTGTTTTGTTTTTTGCAGTGCCTGGTACTGGTTTTTCCTTTCTGTGTTTAGTGCTTCCTTCAGGAGCTCTTGTAGGGCAGGTCTGGTAGTGACAAAATCTCTCAGCAATTGCTTTTCCATAACAGATTTCATTTCTACATCACTTAGTTTGGCTGGATATGAAAATCTGGGTTGAAAGTTCTTTTCTTTAAGGATGTTGAATATTGGTCCCCATTCTCTTCTCACTTATATGGTTTCTGCTGAGAGATCTGCTGTGAGTCTAATGTGCTTCTCTTTATGGGTGACCTGACCTTTGTCTCTGAATGCCCTTAGTATTTTTTCCTTTGTTTCAACCCTGGTGAACCTGATGATTATGTGCCGTGGGGTTGCTCTTCTAGTGGAGTATTGTTGTGGTGTTCTCTGTATTTCCTGTATTTGAATGTGGGCCTGCCTTGGTAGGTTGGGGAACACTCCTGAAGAGTGTTTTCCAGCTTGGATTCATTCTCCCCATCATCTTCTAGTACACCGATCAGGCATCGGTTAGATCTTTTCACATAATCCCATATTTACAACAAACCCACAGGCAATATCATACTGAATGGGCAAAAACTGGAACCATTCCCTTTGAAATCTGGCTCAAGACAAGGATGCACTCTCTCACCACTAATATTCAATATAGTATTGGAAGTCCTAGCCAGAGCAATCAGGCAAGAAAAAGAAATAAAGGGTATTCAATTAGGATAAGAGGAAGCCAAATTGTCCCTATTTGCAGATGACATGATTGTATAGTTAGAAGACCCCATCATCTCAGCCCCAAAATCTCCTGAAACTGATAAGCAACTTCAGCAAAGTCTTGGGATATGAAATCAATGTGCAGAAATCAAAAGCATTTCTACACACCAATAACAGACAGAGAGCCAAATCAAAAGTGAACTCCCATTCACAATTGCTACAAAGAGAATAAAATATCTAGGAATACAACTAACAAAGGATGTAAAGGACCTCTTCATGAAGAACTGCAAACCACTGCTCAAGGAAATAAGAGAGGACACAAACAAATGGAAAAACATTCCATGCTCATGGCTGGGAAGAATCAACATCATGAAAATGGCCATACTGCCCAAAGTAACATATAGATTCAATGCTATCCCCATCAAGTTACCAATGACCTTCTTCACAGAACTGGAAAAAACCACTTCAAACTTCATATGGAATCAAAAGAGAGCCCACATAGCCTAAACAATCCTAAGCAAAAAAAAAACAAAGCTGCAGGCATCATGCTGCCTGACTTCAAACTATACTACAAGGCCACAGTAATCAAAACAGCATGGTACTAGTACCAAAACAGAGACATAGACCAGTGGAACAGAACAGAGGCCTCAGAGACAACACCATACATCTACAATTATCTGATCTTTGACAAATCTGACCAAAACAAGCAATGGGGAAAGGATTCTGTGTTTAATAAATGATGTTGGGAAAACTGGCTAGCAATGTGCAGAAAGCAGAAACAAGATCCCTTCCTGACACCTTACACTAAAATTAACTCCAGATGGATTAAAGATCTAAACATAAGATTGAACACCATAAAAACCCCAGAAGAAAACCTAGGAAAAACCATTCAAGACATAGGCATAAGCAAGGACTTCATAGCTAAAACACCAAAAGCAATGGCAACAAAAGCCAAAATAGATAAATGGGATCTAATTAAACTCCAGAGCTGCTGTACAGCAAAGGAAACAATCATTAGAGTGAACTGGCAACCAACATAATGGGAAAAAAAATTTGTAGTCTACCCATCAAAGGGCTAATATCCAGAATCTACAAAGAACTAAAACAGATTTATAATAAAAAAACAAACCCATTCAAAAGTAGGCAAAGGATGTGAACAGACACTTTACATGTGAAAAGGAGACATCTATGAGGCCAACAAACATATGAAAAAATGCTCATCATCACTGGTCATTAGAGAAATGCAAATCAAAACCACATTGAGATACCATCTCATGCCAGTTAGAATGGCAATTATTAAAAAATCTGGAGACAATGGATGCTGGAGGGGATATGGAGAAATAGAAACACTTTTACACTGTTGGTGGGAGTGCAAATTAGTGCAACTCTTGTGAAAGACAGTGTGGCAATTCCTCAAGGATCTAGAAGTAGAAATTCCATTTGACCCAGCAATCCCATTACTGGGTATATACCCAAAGAATTATAAATTGTTCTATTATAAAGATACATGCACATGTATGTTCATTATGGCACTGTTTACAATAGCAAAGACCTGGAACCAACCCAAATGTCCATCAATAATAGACTAGATAAAGACAATGTGGCACATATACACCAAGGAAAACTACACAGCCATAAAAAAACGATGAGTTCGTGTCCTACATAGGGACATGGATGAATCTGGAAACCATCATTCTCAGCAAACTGACACAAGAACCGAAAACCAAACACCACATATTATCACTCATAGACAGGTGTTGAACAATTAGGACACGTGGACACAGGAAGGGGAGCATCACACACTGGGGTCAGTTGTGGGGGGTTTGGGGAGGGACAGTGGGGGCTGGGGAGGGTGGGGAGGGATAATGAGGGGAGAAATACCATATGTAGGTTATGGGGAGATGAAGGCAGCAAACCACTTTGCCATGTGTGTACCTATGCGATAATCCTGCATGACCTGCACATGTACCCCAGAACCTAAAGTACAATAATTTAAAAAAAGACAATGCAAAGATAAACTTCAGTGTGGCACAACTGAGTTTGCTTTGATAGGGAAAGAGTGTCCTGAAACCTCCCCATCTAAAACACCCTCAGCCTGACTCCCCATTAACCTCCATCTTCTAATACTGTTTTATTTTGCACCCCTAACTGATACTATACTACATATTTTGTAGTATAATGATCTACCTCCCCAGCTTAACATAAGCTCTACATAAGCAGAAATCTGTCTGCTCTAGTGCTATGTCCCCAGCAGGTGAATTGTGCTTTTCACAGAACAGGGACTACAGAGTCTGAATTAGAGAGGTCTACCTCTGAATGTTTCTAAAAGAAAACTCTCCCTCTGTCCCTCCAGATTTCAATATAATGCCCATAGAGTTGGGAAGGGAGGACCCCATCAAGGACCATGAGGTTAACAAGCCTTCCCACAATTAACACGGTAGCTAATTGTGACCAAACAGAAGAAACAAAGACTTGCTAGGTTCTCATGATTGGTGTTATGAAATCAGAGCATGTTGAATAACAAAACTTCTTGTTGATAACTGAGCCCAAGTCAATGGAAAGAATCAACCAAACCAGCAGTGTCTCTGAGTTCATCCTCCTAGGACTCTCCTCCCGGCCTGAGGACCAAAAGCCACTCTTTGTTCTGTTCCTCATCGTGTACCTCATCACCATAACAGGAAACCTGCTCATTATCCTGGCCATTTGCTTCAACCCCCATCTTCAGACACCTATGTATTTCTTCTTGAGTTTTCTCTCTCTCACTGATATTTGCTTTACAACAAGTGTTGTCCCCAAGATGCTGGTAAACTTCCTGTCAGAAAAGAAGACCATCTCCTATGCAGGGTGTCTGACACAGATGTATTTCCTCTATGCCTTTGGCAACAGTGACAGCTGCCTTCTGGCAGTCATGGCCTTTGACTGCTATGTGGCCATCTGTGACCCCTTCTACTATGGCACCACCATGAGCCACCACCGCTGTGTCCTCCTGGTGGCCTTCTCCTGCTCATTTCCTCACCTCCACTCACTCCTGCACACACTGCTGCTGAATCGTCTCACCTTCTGTGACTCCAATGTTATCCATCACTTTCTCTGTGACCTCAGCCCTGTTCTGAAATTGTCCTGCTCCTCCATATTTGTCAATGAAATTGTGCTGATAACAGAAGGGCCTATTGTTTTGGTGACTCCTTTTCTATGCATTGCTTTCTCTTATATACGAATTCTCATTACAATTCTCAAGATTCCCTCTACTTCTGGGAAACGCAAAGCTTTTTCCACCTGTGGTTCTCATCTCACTGTGGTAACACTCTTTTATGGCAGCATCTTCTATGTCTATTTACAGCCCCCATCCACCTACACTGTCAAGGACCACATGGCAACAATTGTCCTACACAGTTTTGTCATCCATGCTCAATCCTTTTATCTACAGCCTGAGAAACAAAGACCTGAAACAGGGCCTGAGGAAGCTTATGAGCAAGAGATCATAGGAAGCGTCCTCTTGAAAAACCCGTAAGTGGAATCTGCTCAACTTGGACCTGGTTTCTAGTGAACAGTCAAGTTGTTAGAAGCTAGCCCTTCTGACCCATGTGAGACAAGGCTATTGTGGGCACGTGTATCTCTTAAATCACAGTACTTTCCTGTCTATGTCTCCTCTTTTTAAGAAAGATTTATTTTTCCCACTGTCTTATTTTCTAAAAAATGCTTTAACCTAATCCTTTCCCCACAAATATTTCCCAAATAAATTTCTCTCTGTTTGTTAAGGCATATCCTCCAAAATCTTTACATTTCAATATACTAGTGAAAATACATAGTTTGTAGCTGTTGAATGTTTTTGCAAAAAAAATTTGAAAAGAGAAAGAATGAAGGAAGAGGAGGATATATATTTTAGCTAATTTTCTCATCTTGAGAAATTTTAATTTTTTTTATTTTTCTCCTTCTAAAAATGTTTTATTGCTTAAAGCTTGAGCTTTTACTTTTACCTTTCCTTTATTATACTGCTGTAGTTTTATTTACTTTTAATTTCCTCTTATTTTATCATACAATTTTAAAATGCTAATGGTCAGAAAGAACAAGAACCACAAGTGATAACATGGAAATTATCCATTTCACACAGGGGAAGTTGAAATGTTTCTTCTGGTTCACCTTCCCATACACTATGTGTTTAAAATGTGTGATTTAATACTTCATCTAGAAACTGTTTTTCACTTATAAATTTGTATTAATATTATTGTAAATGTCTATTGAATATTGTGAGATATATGTATGTATAATCTCCAAAGATATTCAGGAAATCTCAGTCTATCACAGATAAAAATGGCAACAACTTGAAACCTTTTCAATAGGGAAATGGAGAAAGATGCTATGATTAATTCCATAAAATGTAACTATGTGCAGCATGTTCAAATAATCAAATATATCTTTATTGCTTCCTTGAAAAGCCATTAAGTAGGAAAATGAAGATGTGGAACAAATGTAAAAGTATGAATTCACTAGATTAAAAATTTACATGAATATAAATGTACATGTGTGTGTAGTCACTGGAGTAAGAATGGAAAGGGCAGGGGGAACACGGGAGGAGAGTATTTCTTCTTTATACGTTGTAATATCTGAATTTGTTAAAATAAACATTTATTGCCCATGGAATTGAAAACTATTAATAAACAAGATGGCCAGACAATGGTGAAAGACTTCATAAATTACCAGTTGAAGAAAAACTTTCTGAGTGCATGCATATCTAAAAACATGACTTTGGCACAGTTAGTAGACAATTTGATAATTTGGTAGGATATAGCATTCTAGGTCCAAAACTTTTCTTTTGGATCTTTTAAAGATGTGGCTATATTATTCTAACACCTTGGGTGTTTTCAGTGATAAAACATCCTAATTTGTGTTCCTTTGTAATGATTTCCTTCTCATTGAATCATACTCCATAGATCCCTGACAACAAACATGGCTATGTTGCCAACTGGTTAGGTCTTGGAAGAGCAGACCTTGATTCCACCTACTTTACTCCAAGCCTGAGTTCAGGAGCCCAGTCATTTTTCTTGACTGTGTGTTTTCTCATAGGTGTTAAGATGTAACAAAAGGGTAAAAAATAAAACACTAGGCAAACACTTTCTAGACTTGAAATCAAAAGAAAAGAGCATGATTTATAAAAGGAAATATTTTAAAGTTGAACTTCATAAAAATTAAACTACTAGAAGGTGAAGATGGAGAGAAGGTGAGTTTAAAACTACTTATCTGGTACTATGCTCACTACCTGAGTGATGGGATTCAAATCTCAGAATCACACAGTATTCCTATATAACAAATCTGTACATGTACCCATTTATTTAAATAAAAGTTGATATTTAACAATTAAAAACTTGTTCTGTAAGAAATACTGTCAAGAGAATGAAAAGAGAAGCTGAAGAGTGGGAGAAAATATTTGCAAATCACATATTCAGTAAAGGCCTAGTACCCAGAATGCATAGAAAGCTCTCAAAACTCAATAGTAAAAAGTAAACAATCCAATTGGAACTTCAAAAAAAGACATGAAGAGACATTTCATCAAAGGAGATACACAGATGGCAGATAAGAACAGAAAAAGATATTAGAATATCATTAGTCATTTGAGAAATGAAAATTAATGACAATGAGATTTGACTGCATACCTATTAGAATGGCTAAAATAAAAAATAATGACAACACTAAATGTTCATAAGGATGCAGAGAAACTGAACCACTTATACTTTTCCTGCCGAAACCACAAAACAATAGAGCCATTCAGAAAACGGTCTGGAAGTCTGTTTAAAAACTAAATATACACCTGAATGTGATGGTGAGAATGAATTCAAGCTGGAAAACACTCTACAGGATATTATCCAGAACTTCCCCAACCTAGAAAGGCAGTCCAGCATTCAAATCCAAGAAATACAGAGAACTCCACGAAGATATTCCTCAAGGAGAGCAACCCAAAGGCACATAATCATCAGGTTCACCATGGTTGAAATGAAGGAAAAAATGCTAAGGGCAGCCAGAGAGAAAGGTCAGGTCACCCACAAAGGGAAACCCATCAGACTTACAGTGGATATTTTGGCAGAAACCCTACAAGCCAGAAGAGAGTGGGGGCCAATATTCAACATCCTTAAAGAAAAGAACTCAACCCAGACTCTCATATCCAGCCAAACTAAGCTTCATAAGTGAAGGAGAAATAAAATCCTTTATGGACAAGGAATTACTAAGTGATTTCATCACCACCAGACCTGCCTTACAAGAGCTCCTGAAAGAAACACTAAACACAGAAAGGAACAAGTACCAGCCAGTGCAAAAGCATACAAAATGGTAAAGCCCAATAATGCAATGAAGAAACTGAGCCAACTAATGGGAAAGAAAACCAGCCAGTAACAAAATGGCAGGATTAAATTCACATATAACAATATCAATATTGAATGTAAACAGCTTGAATGCTCCAATCAAAAGATACAGACTGGCAAATTGGATAAAAAGTCAAGACCCATTGGTGTGCTGTATTCAGGAAACCCATCTCACGTACAAAGACACACATAGACTCAAAATAAAGGGATGGAAGCAGATTTACCAAGCAAATGAAGAACAAAAAAAAGCAGGGGCTGCAATCCTAGTCTCTGATAAAACAGACTTCAAACCAACAAAGATCAAAAGAGACAAAGAAGGGCATTACATAATGGTAAAAGGATCAATCCAACAAGAAAAGCTAACTATCCTAAATATATATGCACCCAATACAGGAGTACCCAGATACATAAAGCAAGTTCTTAACATTCTAAAAGGAGATTTAGATTCCCACACAATAATAGTGGGAGACTTCAACACTCCACTGTCAATATTAGACAGATCGATGAGACAGAAAATTAACAAGGATATCCAGGACTTGAACTCAGAGCTGGACCAAGCAAAATTAATAGACATCTACAGAATGCTCCACCCCAAATCTACAGAATATACATTCTTCTCAGCACCACATTGCACTTACTCTAAAATTGACCACATAATTGGAAGCAAATCACTCCTCAGCAAATGCAAAAGAATGGAAAGCATAACAAACAGTATCAGACCACAGCACAATCAAATTAGAACTCAGCTTTAAGAAACTCACTTAAATCTGCACAACTACTTGGAAACTGAACAATATGCTTCTGAGTGTCAACTGGATAAACAATGCAATGAAGGCAGAAATAAAGACATTCTTCAAAACCAACAAGGATGAAGACACAACATACCAAAATCTCTGGGACACATTTAAAGCAGTCTCTAGAGGGAAATTTATACCAATAAATGCCCACATGAGAAACAAGGAAAGATCTAAAATCGACACCCTATCATCAAAATTGAAAGAGCAAGAGGAGAAAGATAGAAAAAAACTCAAAAGCTAGCAGAAGATAAGAAATAACTAAGATCAGAGCAGAACTGAAGGAGACAGAGACACAAAAACCCTTCAAAAAATCAATAAATCCAGGAGCTGGTTTTTTGGAAAGATTAACAAAATAGACCACTAGCCAGACTGATAAAAAAGAAAAGGGAGAAAAACCAAATAGATGCAATAAAAAACAATAAAGGGGAAATCACCACAGATTCCACAGAAATTCAAACCATCATCAGAAAATATTACAAACAACTCTATGCACATAAACTAGTAAAACTGGAAGAAATGGATAAATTCCTGGACACGTGTGCCCTCCCTAGCCTAAACCAGGAAGAAGCTGAAACCCTGAATAGACCAATAACAAGGGCTGAAGTTGAGGCAGCAATCAATAGCCTACCAACCAAAAAAAGTCTAGGTCCACATGGGTTCACAGCTGAATTCTACTAGACATACAAAGAGGAGCTGGTACTATTTCTTCTGAAACTATTCCAAACAATAAAAAAGAGGGAATCCTCCCTAACTCATTTTATGAAACCAACATCATCCTGATACCAAAACCTGGAAGAGACTCAACTAAAAAAGAAAACTTCAGGCCAATATCCATGATGAACATTGAGGCAAAAATCTTCAACAAAATACTGGCAAACTGACTGCAACAGCATATCAAAATGTTTATTCATCACAATCAAGTAGGCTTCATCCTGGGGATGCAAGGCTGGTTCAACATATGCAAGTCCATAAATGTAATCCACCACAAAAACAGAACCAAAGATAAAAACCACACGATTATCTCAATAGATGCTGAGAAGGCCTTTGACAAAATTCAACAGCCCTTCATGCTAAAAACTCTCAATAAACTGGGTATCAGCTGAACATATCACAAAATAATAAAAGGTATTTATGACAAACCCACAGCCAACATCATATTGAATGGGCAAAAGCTGGAAGCATTCCCTTTGAAATCAGGCACTAAACCAGGATGCCCTATCTCACCACTCCTATTCAATATATTATTGGAAGTTCTAGCCAGAGGATTCAGGCAAGAAAAAGAAATAAAGCGTATTCAATTAGGAAAGGAGGAAGTCAAATTTTCTCTATTTGCAGATGACATAATTGTATAATTAGAAACCCCATCATCTGAGCCCAAAATCTCCTGAAACTGATAAGCAACTTCAGCAAAGTCTCAGGATACAAAATCAATGTGCAGAAATCATAAGCATTCCTATCTAACAATGACAGACAAACAGAGCCAAATCAAGAGTGAACTCCCATTCACAGTTGCTACAAAGAGAATAAAATATCTAGGAATACAATGAACAAAGGATATAAAGGATCCCTTCAAGGAGAACTACAAACCACTGCTCAAGGAAATTAGAGAGGACACAAACAGATGGAAAAATATTCCATGCTCATGGTTAGGAAGAATCAATATTGTGAAAATGGCCATACTTCCCAGAGTAATTTATAGATTCAATGCTATCCCCATCAAGCTACCAATGACCATCTTCACAGAACTGGAAAAAACCACTTCAAACTTCATATGGAACCAAAAGAGAGCCCACATAGCCAAGACAATCTTAAGCAAAAAGAACAAAGCCAGAGGCATCACGCTGCCCAACTTCAAACTATACTACAAGGCTACAGTAATCAAAACAGCATAGGACTGGTACCAAAACAGAGACATGGACGAGTGGAACAGAACAGAGGCCTTGGAACCAACACCGCACACCTACAACCATCTGATTTTTGACAAATTTGACAAGAACAAGCAATGGGGAAAGAAATCCCTATTTAATAAATGGTGTTGGGAAAACTGGATAGCAATGTGCAGAAAGCAGAAACTGGAATCCTTCCTGTCGCCTTACACTCAAATTAACTCCAGATGGATTAAAGATTTAAACATAAGACCTAACATCATAAAGACCCTAGAAGAAAGCCTAGGCAAACCATGCAGGACATTGGCAGAGGCAAGTATTTCATGACTAAAACACCAAAAGCAATGGCAACAAAAGCCAAAATAGACAAATGGGACCTAATTAAACTTCAGAGCTTCTGTACAGCAAAAGAAACAATCATTAGAGTGAACTGGCAACCAACAGAATGGGAAAAAAAATGTGCAATCTACCCATCAGACAAAGGGCTAATATTCAGAATCTACAAAGAACTAAAAAAGATAAGAAAAAACAAAGAAACCCATTCAAAAGTAGGAGAAGGATATGAACAGACACTTTACAAAAGAAGACATCTATGAGGCCAACAAGCATATGAAAAAATGCTTATCATCACTGGCCATTGGAGAAATGGAAATCAAAACCACATTGAGGTATCATCTCATGCCAGTTAGAATGGCAATCATTTAAAAATCTGGAGACAGATTCTGGAGAGGATGTGGAGAAATAGGAACACTTTTACACTGCTGGTGGGAGTGTAAATTAGTTCAATCATTGTGGAAGACAATGTGGCAATTCCTCAAGGATCTAGAAATAGAAATTTCACTTGACCCAGCAATCCCATTACTGGGTATATAATGAAAGGATTATAAATCATTCTATTATAAAGATACATGCACATGTATGTTCATTGCAGCACTGTTTACAATAGCAAAGACCTGGAGCCAACCCAAATGCCATAAATGAGAGACTGGACAAAGAAAATTTGGCACATATACACTATGGAATACTATGCAGCCATAAAAATTGATGAGTTCATGTCCTTTGTAGGGACTTGGATTAATCTGGAAACCATCATTCTCAGCAAACTGACAGAAGAACAGAAAACCAAACACTGCATGTTCTCACTCTTAGGCAGATGTTGGACAATGAGAACACCTGGGCTCAGGGAGAGGAGCATCACACACTGAGGTTAGTTGTGGGGGGCTAGGGATGGGACAGTTTGGGGTGGGGAAGGTGGGGAGGGATAACATGGAGAGAAATGCTGGATATAGATGAAGGGGGACTGAAGGCAGCAAACCGCTGGGTTATGTATGCACCTAAGAAACAACCCTGCATGATCTGCACAGGCAGCCCAGAACCTAAATTATTATTTTAAAAAATGGAAAAAGCTAAACATACAACTACCATACAATCCAGAAACTATTAATTCCAAAGATATGAAAACTTATGTTCCCATCAAAACATCCACAAATAAGTACATTTTTTTGCAGCTTTGTTTTTAATAACGTAAAACTGGAAAGAAAAGCCCAACTTTTTCAACAAGTGAATGGTTAAATAAACTATGGCAATCCGTAGGGTAGCAATTTAAAAAATTAACTACTGACACACACAACAATATAAGTGAATTTCCAGATAGTTATGTTGTGTGAAAACAGTCAATCCCCAAAAAGGCTAAATAATGTGTAATTCCATTTATATAATGTTCTTTAAATGACAAATTTTGAAAAATCATAATCATCTCAAAATTTTTTTTCTGATCACAATAGAATAAAACTGGAAATCAATAACAGGAGGAAATGTGGAAACTGTACAACTACATGGAAATTAAACAACATGTTTCTGAATAACCAAGGAAGAGATTAAAAAAGACATTAGAAAATTTTTTTAGATGAATGAAAGTGGAAAGACAACACACCAAAACCTATGGGATACAGCAAAAGCAGTTCTAAGGGAGAGTTTGTAGCAATAAACACATCAAAAAATAGAAAGCTCTCAGATAAAACATCCTAAGGTTGCACCACGAAGACCTAGGAAAATGAGAAAAAAAACCAGACTTGATTTTACCCAAAAGGCCAAGAACTGATAACAAGAACAAACTAAATTCAAAATGAGTAAAAAAAAAGGAAATAAAGATCACATTAGAAATAGAGACCAAATAATGCAAAATATCAACAAAAATGAAGAATTGGTCTTTGAAAAGATAAACAAAATCAATGACCTTAGTAGCTAGACTGACTAAAAAACAGAGAGGAGTCAAACAAAATCAGACAAAAAAGTAAAACTGCAAGTGATACTAAAGAAATAAAAAGAATAATGGGAGACTATTATGAACAACAAAAAATTGGAAAACTTAGAAGAAATGGATAAATTCTTGGGCACATGCAACTTACCAAGATTGAATCATGAAGAAATAGAAAACCTAAGCAGACAGTAAAGAGTAAAAATATTGAATCAGCAATAGGAAATCTAACATTGAAGAAAAGCCCAGGACCTGATGGCATCACTGCTAGATCCTATCAAACATTTAAAAAAGAGCTGATACTAATTTTTTACAAACTCTTTCAAAACACTGAAAAGGAGAAAATTCATCCAAGTTTGTTCTTTGAGGCCAGTGTTACTCATACCAAAACCAGACAACAACAACAACACACACACACACACACACACACACACACACACACACACCCCTATGAGCCAATATCCCTGATAAGCATGGACACAAAAATCCTGAACAAAATATTAGCAAATTGAACTCAACAGCACATAAAAAGTATCATTTGCCATAATCAAGTGGGATTCATACCAGTGATGTAAGAATGTTTCAACATACACAAATAAATAAACCTGATATTTCACACTAACAGAATTGTATTAGTCAGAGTTCCCCAGAGGGTCAGAACCAATAGGTTGCGTGTAATAGAAAACTTAGGGGAAATTGGCTCACATTATCACAAAGGCGAAGTCCCATAATAGGACATCTGCAAATTAGAGGACCCAAGAAGCCAGTAGTGTGGTTCCCAGAGAGGTTGGTAGCATGGTGCCTAGAGAAGCTGGTAACATGGCTCAGTCTAAATCGTAAAGCCTCAGCCCTAGGGAGGCTGACAGCAGAGACCTTGGTCTGGGGCCAAATGCCTGAGAACCTTATCAGAAGGTGGCTGATGCAATTCTCAGAGTCCAAAACCCAAAGAACTTGAAGTCTGATGCAAGGGCAAGAGGAATAAAAGACATCTGCTCCAAAAGGGAGAGAGAGAGGAAGAAGAGTAAGCTGAGCAGAAACTCTTTTGTTTAGTTAGATTCCATTTGTCAATTTTTGCTTTTCTTTTCCTTGCTTTTGGCATCTTCATTATGAAATATTTGCCTGTTCCTATGTCCAGATGGTATTGCCGAGGTTGTCTTCCAGGGTTTTTACAGTTTTGAGGTTTACATTTAAGTCTTTAATCCATCTTGAGATAATTTTTGTATATGGTGTAAGGAAGGGGTACAGTTTCAATCTTCTGCATATGGCTAGCCAGTTATCCCAGACTCATTTATTGAATATGCGATCCTTTCTCCATTGCTTGTTTTTTTTTTCAGCTTCTGCACAGCAAAAGAAACTATCAATAGAGTAAACAGACAACCTACAGACTTTTTTTTTGGAGAAAATTTTTGCAAACTATGCATCTGACAAAAATCTAATATCCAGCATCTATAAAAAACTTAAGCAAATTTACAAGAAAAAAACCCTAAACAACCCTATTAGAAAGTGGACAAAGGACATGAACAAGCACTTTTCAAAAGAAGACATACATGCGGCAAACAAACATGAAAAAAGCTCAACATCACTGATAATTAGAGAAATGCAAATCAAAATCATAATGAGACACCATCTCACACCAGCCAAAATGGCTATTATTTAAAAGTCAACAAATAAAAGATGCTGGTGAGGTTGCAGAGAAAAAGGAAAGCTTATACAATGTTGGTGGGAGTATAAATTAGTTCACCCACTGGAAAACAGTATGGTGATTCCTCAAAGACCTAAAAACCGAAATACCATTTGACTCAGCAATCTCATTACTGGGTATATACCTAAAGGAATGTAAATCATTATCTTACAAAAATACATGCATGCATATGTTCATATGAAACACAATTCACAGTAGCAAAGACATAGAATGAACTTAAATGCCCATTAATGGTAGACTAGATAAAGAAAATGTGGTACAAATCCATCATGGAATACTATGCAGCCATAAAAAATAATGAGATTATGTTATTTTAAGAAACATGGATTGAGCTGGAAACCACTATCCTTAGCAAACTAACACAGGAACAGAAAACCAAATACCACATGTCCTCACTTGCAAGTGGGAGCTAAATGATGAGAACACATAGACTCATAGAGAGGAACAGCAGACACTGTAGCCCATTGGAGGGTGATGGGTAGGAGGATGGAGAGGGTCAGGAAAAATAATGGATACTAGGCCGAGACTATGGCCACCCCTCCCACTAAGGGCTCAGGCCCAGGGAGATCAGAGCTCTGTCCCTGAGCCCCTGGCTGGAGTTGTTGGAGTTCCTGCAGGGAAGCCCTCCCAGTGAGGAGGGAGGGGTCAGGGTCACACCTGAAGAGACAGGTTGGCCTCTCTCAGCACTCTATTCACCATAGTATTGGAAGTTCTGGCTAGAGCAATCAGGCAAGAGAAAAAAAAGGTATTCAAATAAAAAGACAGAAAGTCAAATTGTCTGTATGCAGGTGACATGATTCTATGTTTAGAAAACCCCATCATCTCAGCCCAACAACTCCTTAAGCTGATAAGCAACTTCAGCAAAATCTTAGGGTACAAAATCAATGTGCAAAAATCACAAACATTCCTATACACCAACAATAGACAAGCGGAGAGCCCAATCATGAATGAACTCCCATTCACAATTGCTATAAGGAGAATAAAATACCTAGGAATACAGCTAACAAGGGATGTGAAGGACCACTTCAAGAAGAATCAAAAACCACTGCTTACGGAACTAAGAGAGGTTATGAACAAACAGAAAAACATTACATCCTCATGGATAGGAGGAATCAATATTGTGAAAATGGCCATACTGCCCAAAGTAATTTATAGATTCAATACTATTCCCATCAAATATTATGTTGACATTCTTCACGTAATTAGAAAAAAAAAAACTACTTTAAATTTCATATGGAACCAAAAAAAATCTGTATAGCCAAGACAATCCTAAGCAAAAAAGAACAAAGCTGGAGGCATCATGCTACCAGACTTCAAACTATACTACAAGGCTACAGTAACCAAAACAACATGGTACAGGTACCAAAGCAGACATTTAGGCCAATGAAACAGAACAGAAGCCTCAGAAATAACACCACACATCTACAACCATCTGATCTGACAAAACAAGCAATCGGAAAAGGATTCCCTATTTAATAAATGATGCTGGGAAAACTGATTAGCCATGTGTAGAAAACTGAAACTGGACCCCTTCCTTACACCTTATACAAAAATTAACTCAAGATGGATTAAAGACTTAAATGTGAAATCCACAACCATAAAAACCCCAGAGGAAAACTAAGGCAATTTCATTCAGGACATAGGCATGGGCAAATATTTCATGATGAAAATGCCAAAAGCAATTGCAACAAAAACTAAAGTGAACAAATAAGATCTAATTAAACAGAAAGCTTCTGCATAGCAAAAGGAATTATCATCAGAGTGAACAGGCCACCTACTGAACAGATTTTTGCAATCCATCCATCTGACAAAGGTCTAATATCCAGAATCTACAAGGAACTTAAACAAATTTACAAGAAAACAACAAACAACCTCATCAAAAAGTGGGCAAAGGATATGAACAGACATTTCTCAAAGGAAGACATTATGTGACTAACAAACATATGGGGAGGGAAAAGCTCAATCTCACCAATCATTAGAGAAATTCAAATCTAAACCACAATGAGATACCATCTCACACCAGTCAGAATGGTGATTATTAAAAAGTCAAAAAACAATAGATACTGGTGAGATGTGGAGAAATAGGAATGCTTTTACACTGTTAGTGGGAAGGTAAATTAGTTCAATCATTGTGGAAGATAGTGTGCCAATTCCTCAAGGATCTAGAAGCAGAAATATCATTTGACCTAGCAATCCCATTACTGGGTATATTCCCAAAGAATATAAAACATTCTACTGTAAGACATGCACATACGTATGTTTATTGCAGCACTATTTGCAATAGCAAACACATGGAATCAACCCAAATGCCCATCAATAATAAACTGGATAAAGAAAAGGCAATACATATACCCCATGGGATATTATGCAGCTATAAAAAGGAATTTGCTGAGTATGGTGGTGCACATCTGTGGGGCCAGCTACTAGGGAAGCTGAGGTAGGAGGATTGCTTGAGCCCAGGAAGTTGAGGCTACAATGAGTTGTGTTTGCATCATTGCACTCCAGCCTTGGCAACAGAGTGAGAACCCTCTCTCAAAAAAATGTTTTTAAATCATGTCATCTATAGATTCTGGATATTAGATTTTTGTCAGATGAGTAGAGTGCAAACATTTTCTCCGATTCTGTAGGTTGCCTATTCACTCTGATGATAGTTTCTTTTGCTGTGCAGAACTCTTTAGTTTAATTAGATCCCATTTGCCAACTTTGGCTTTGGTTGCTATTGCTTTTGGTGTTTTAGTGCCCATCGATGATAGATTGGATAATGAAAACATGGCACATATATACCATGGAATACTATGCAGCCATAAAGAAGAATGAGTTTATGTTCTTTGCAGGGACATGGTTGAAGTTGGAAGCCATCATTCTCAGAAAACCAACATAGAAACAGAAAACTGAACACCACATGTTCTCACTTGTAAGTGGGAATTGAACAATGAGAACATATGGACACGGGGAGGAGAACATCACACACAGGGGCCTCAGATACAGTCAGGGGGTGGGGGATCAAAGGAGGGAGAGCATTAGTACAAATATCTAAAGTATGTGGGGCTTATAACCTAGATGGCCGGTTGATAGGTGCAGCAAACCACCATGGCACACATACACCTGTGTAACAACCTGCACATTCTGCACATGTATCCTGGAACTTAAAGTAAAATAAAAAAATTAAAATTATGTTTACAAACAACAAAGACAACAACAAAAGTTGATTTCATAGAAGGAGAGAGTAAAATAATGATTATTAGAAGGTGAGGATGTAGGAGGAGTGGGGAACAGGGACAGGTTAGTCAACAGATCTATGTTGACGAACTTGAGTATAACAAGTTCTGGTATTCTATTGTACAAAAGCGTGAATATAGCTAACAATAATGTATTGTAACTTCAACATAGCCAGAGAGAGGATTGTGAATGTCCTTAACTCAAAGAAATAACAGATGTTTGAGATGATGGATATGCTAATTATCCTGGTTTGATAATTATGCAATGTATACAGGTACCGAAGTATGACACTGTACCTTATAAACATGTACAATCATTATGTGTAACTTAAGGATATAATAAAACTTTTAAAAAGATATGAAATTTCCACATTATAAGGGAAAGAATGAGACAAAGATAAGAAGAGAAAATTAAAATAAAAAAATTTAAAGCATGGTATATACAAAAAAAGAAAGAGGAAATGGAATGTCAAAATCAATTACAAATATATTAACAATTGCATGAATCTTAAAAGACAAATTTGTATGAAAAACAAACAAAGATTCTTAGAGTAAATATATATATATATATATCCATCTATATAAAGTTTTCTGTAATGGCCAACCTAAAAATTTGGACCAACCTTCCCAATGGGAAAATTAATAAAACTCAGATGAAATATTTTAAATATGTTTTTGAAGGCATCACAAACATAAAATAATAAAGAATTACTTAGAAAACTTCTAACCACAGAAAGTATAAACTCAAATAGACAGGTTCAGCACTCAAAGCCACTTTAGCCCAGAAAGCATTTGTTAAACAGGAAAAAAAGAAAGAAAGAAAGAAAGAAAGAAAGAAAGAAAGAAAGAAAGAAAGAAAGAAAGAAAGAAAGAAAGAAAGAAAGAAAGAAAGAAACTGAGCTATGCTTTATTGAGAAGTAAAAACCCTCAACCTATCCAAAAGGTGAGAGGTAAAACACCACTTGAATTTAACCTTCTTTTTCAAAAACAGAAAAATCCAAAATAAATAATCTAAGCTTCTGCCCTAGGAAACTAAATCCAAAGTAAGCACAAGAAAAAAAATTATTAATAAAAATTAAGACAGAATTAATGAAATTGAAAATAGGACATTGTTAAAGAAAATCAACAAAACAAAAACCTAGTTCTTTGAAAAGGTCAATAAAATTGATATGGCATTAAAAAGTCTAACTATGGAAAATAAAAGAAAGAAGACACAAGTTACTAATATCAGAAATGAAAAGGAAAACGTCACTAAAAATCCCATGGGCACTGAAAGGATAATGAAGGAATAGTATGAACAAATCTGTGCCCACAAATATGATAGCTTAAATGAAATAGACCAATACTGGGAAAGCCACAATCTGCTAAAACTCATACAAGAAGAAATGGGCATTAATAGGCCTATTTCTATTGAAGAAATTAACTCAATAATTAATAACCTTCCCAAACATAATGTACCAGGCCCAGATGGGCTCACTGGTGAATTCTATCAAACATTTAAAGAAGAATTTATGACAATTCTCTGCAATCTCTTCTAGAAGATGGAAATAGAGTAAATACTTTCTATCTCCTTCTATGAGGCCAGTAACACTCTAATAACAAAAGTGAGTAAGGTAATCGCAAGAAAAGAAAACTACAGACCAATATCTCTCATGAATATGGATGTCAAAATCCTTAATACAGTACTAGCAAATAGAAACAAATAATGTATAAAAAGACTTATATATCATATCCAAGTGGGATTTATCTCAGGAATGCAAGGTTGCTCCAACACTTGAAAATCAATTAATTTAATCGATCACATCAATAGGCTAAAGAACAACTACCTGATAATATAAATAGATACAGAAAAAGCACTTGACAAAATCCAACACCCATTTATGATTAAACCCTCTGAGCAAACTAGGAATAGAGAGATTAAAAAATATCTATTTTAAAAACTACAGTTAACATCATACTTGATGAGAAACTAAAAGCTTTGCACTAAGATCAGGAAGAAGACAAAAAAATGTCCCCTCTCATTACTGCTTTTGAATATCATATTGAAAGTCCTGGTAGGGCATAAGGCAAGAAAATGAAATTAAAGGTATACAGATTCAGAAGCAATAAATAAAACTGTCTTTGTTTTCAGATGATATGATTTTTACAGAAAATCCAAAATATCCAAAAATCTCTCCTGGAACTAGTAAGGAATTATAGAAAGGTTTCAGGATACAGGGTTAATATAAAAAGCCAATTGTATTCAGGATACAGGGTTAATATACAAAAGCCAATGGCCAAATATATAGTAGCAATGAACAAATGGAATTTGAACTAAAAAACACAATACCATTTACACTAGCAGCCCCCAATTTGTTAGATATAAATCTATATACAAAATTAATATGAGAAAAACTGCAGAACTCTGAAAGAAGAAATCAAATAACTAAATAAATGGAGAGATATTCCATGTTCATGCATAGGAAAACTCAATGTTACTGTGGTGCCACTCTTCCCAACTTGATCAATAGATTCAACATACCCTTAATCAAAACCTGGCAAATTACTTTGTGGATATCAACAAAACTATTCTTATTTATGCAGAGAGGCAAAAGACTCAGAATAGCTAACACAATATGGAAGAACAAGTTTGGAGGACTGATACTACTTCCTTCTTTTTAAGTTCTGGGATACATGTGCAGAACGTGCATGTTTGTTACATAGATATACATGTGCCATGGTGGTTTCCTGCACCTGTCAGCCCGTCATCTAAGTTTTAAGCCCCACATGCATTAGGTGTTTGTCCTAATGCTCTCCCTCTCCTTACCCCCGACAGGCCCTGGACACTACCTACTATAAGCCTGAAGTAATTAAGGCAGTGTGGCATTGACAAAAAAATAGAAAAATAGATCAATGGAATAGAATAGAGAGCCCAGAAAGAGACCCACATAAGTAGAGTCAACTGATTTTTGACACAATGCAGTGGAGAAAACATAGTCTCTTCAACAGAGAGTGCTGAAATAACTAGACATCCACATTTAAAAAATGAATCTAGACACAGACATTACACCTTTTATGGAATATTTCATACAAAGAAATATTACTCAGTCTCAGAAAGAAATGAGCTATCTAGTTATGAAAACACTTGGAGAAACCTTTAACATACTGCTAAGTGAAAGAAGTCAATCTGAAAAGGCTACATACTGTATGATTCCAACTATATAACGTTCTGGAAGAGCTAAAACTATAGAGACAGTAAAAAGATCAGTGGTTACCAGTGGGTAGTGGGGAGAGGGGAAGGACTAGATGAAGCACAGGGGATTTTTAGGGCAGTGAGACTATTCTGCATGATACTATAATGATGAATACATGCCATTATGCACTTGTCAAACCCCACAGAATGCGCAACGCCAAGAATGAACTCCAATGTAAACAATGGACTTTGGGTAATGATGTGTCAGTGAAGGCTAATGGATTGTAACAAATGTACCACTCTGGTGAGAGAGGTCGATTAGTTCGGGAGATTGTGCATGTGTTGCAGTAAAAGGTATGTAGGAACTTTCTGCTCAATTTTTGTGTAAATCAAAAACAGCTCTAAAAGAGTAAAATGTGAGTGTATATGTGTGTGTGTGTGTATACACACACATTTTACTCTTTTGGTAATGTCCATTCCTGCCTGAGTTTTCAGCCTGCCCTACAAATTTCAAGCTTACTATCCTCATATAATTGCATGAGCCAATTTCTTGAAGTAAATATATTTATATATAAATAGACTGTAAATGGCATATTGTAGCTGGGTGACTGGATGGAGGGCAAAGGTGGGGATCTTAGAGGTCAGAAATTTATTCCCAAAAAAGAGAGATATTATTCACAAATACAAAACTTGCCTTTTCCAACCTTTGCCTTGGTACTAGAAATTGCTGTAGATTGCTGTGGTCAGGGCCAAGTCACCTAATTCAAAGCTAAAATGGTCTAGTCTAGTTTCCCTAGTTGTCTCATTATTCTTTCTCTTCTATCCAAAAAGAAGAGACAGAAGTGGGAGATAGAATGACCAAAGAGCAGTGCACACAGGGGCATGATTTTCCTTAAAGGAAGATCCTTAAACAGTATTTATTGTACAACACCAAAAGGGCATACCTTCCTTTTTAAGAAATTTGATCCAGGAGGAACTTGATCTCAGAGATCTGTTTCAGTGCTTCTTTTCCTCTGTGAGATACCATTGAAACATGTTTTTTGTGTGCCAACCCTCAAATTTCATTTCTTTTTTTGGAAAATATCTACATGTTTCAAAACATGTAGCTATAAAGAAGAAAAATAGTAACTTATAATTTCATTGCAAAAAGATAACCATTGTTAAGCTTTGTGACTTCTTATACCAATTTCTACCAGATTGCTTTGCATCAAATTATTGTCCTAAAAATTTCCAGCATGCTTGATTTGTCATTTTTTTTCTAGAATATTTTATGAAATAATTCAGAGAATGGACAGTGTGGTGATTACAAAACTGGCACTAGTAGGTGTACAGCACATATTGATTACATTTCATCTATTTATTACAACAGAAGAGTGCATTTAAGTTAAAGGAATGAAATAGAAGGGAATACCATAACATATATTAATTTAATTCTTTTTCTCCTGTTGCTATCATTCAATATTAACCTTAGTTATGCTCTAACACCTTCCTTGTCATAATCTTCATAAAGTGGTAAAATAGAAGGGGGTAGATACTAGAATCAAGCTGACTCATTAAGTTATTTAACATCCTAATTCACAGTTTTCACTATTCTACCTCAAGAAACTGATATGAGGAATAATGAGGAACATTGTGGATACTCAGTAAATGTTTGTGTTCTTATTCCTTCGCCTCATTTCATGCCTGCCTCACTGGGTAGAATCGCTCGGCTCCAGAGCCTCATAACAAATGCCCTGTTCGCTATAGCTGATATGCTGGTTTTAGAGGTTTGAGGGGGAATAGCGGTTTTTCTGTTAGTAATGGTTGCCTCACTGGGGTTAGGAAAGAGGCTGAGACAGAGCATCGCATTCCACAGCCTAATAAAAGAATGAAACATTGTTTTTGTTGCATCCCTAACTCAGAATCAACTGATAACCTTCCCCTAATATCAATATGCCAGTAGTAGAAATACCAAAGTGATGTAAAACAAGTAGGAGTTGATCAAGATTAGACATCATCATCTAGATATCTTATCATGAAAGTAATGTCTTCCCACTGCCAAAAAGTTTCCACAAAGCCTCCTTCATGTCTCTGTTCCTTAAGCTATAAATGAATGGGTTTAGCATGGGAATAATCACCATGTAGAGGACAGCAGCCCTTCTTTCTCTCTCTGTAGAGTAAGTTGATGGAGGAAGTAAATACACACCCATAAGAGACCCATAGAAGAGAAGAACCACCGTGAGATGAGAACCACAGGTAGAGAAGGCCTTCCATTGCCCTCCAGGAGATGAGATGCCAAACACAGCCCAGGAAATGCGGACATAGGAGAAGACGATCAGCAGGAGGGGAACAGCGAGGAACAGCAAGCCCATGGTGATGATCATCAGCTCGTTTACATGGGTATCTGTACAGGCAAGCTTCAGGAGAGCACTGGGATCACAGTAGAAGTGGGGGATGGCTTTCTGGGCACAGAAACCCACACGGGTCAGCAGCAGTGTGTGCATCAGGGCAGGACAGTTGGTTAGCACCCAGCACATACCCAGCATTAGTGCACAGAGCTGGGGACTCATAGCTGTGCTATAATAGAGTGGCTGGCAGATGGCCACATAGCGATCATATGCCATCACAGCCAGCAGGCAGTTGTCAAGGCCACCAAACATAAGGAGGAAATATAGTTGTGCAAGACACCCAGAATAGGAGATGGTCTGACTCTGGGTATGAATGTTGGCCAGCATTTTGGGGATTGAGGCAGTAGTGAAACAGGCATCAGTTAATGATAGGTTGGCCAGAAAGAAGTACATGGGAGTTTGAAGGTGTGGGTCAGAGCTGATGGCCAGGATGATGAGCAGGTTTTCCACCATGGTGACTAGGTACATGCCAAGGAAGATGTCAAACAGAAGAGGCTGCTCCTCTGGCCGCTCAGAGAGTCCTAGATGGAGGAAGTCTGAAACAGTGGTTTGGTTCACTCTGCCTGGTTTTCCCATCCCTTGTAGTTCTTGTTATCTGCACAGATAAAACCTTCCATGTGTCAGTATTTATTTATTAAATCAATTTACAGATATGCAACTGTGTGGCCAGAACTGTGCTGGGAGAAAAAACAAAGAAAAATAAATGGTCTTTGCCAATAAGAATTTCTGAATCCCATTGGGAATGCAAGAAAATACCCAAGAAACGTTTAGAGAACAGTTAAGATAATATCCATTCAAATCTCAATTGTGTTCTCTATGCTATAGCAGAATCCAAAGAAAAGAGATTCTTTTGACCAGAGAAATTGGCATGCACTATTTAGAGGAAGTCAGAATTGAGAATAGCTTGATTGCAAGATTAGAAAATCCATTTGTTATTGTCAATTGGAAAGAAGGTGCATGATCTCCATCAAATTCTTCCCCCTCCTCCAACACACACATGAACCTTCTTTATAGGGACTGAAATTGACTTTTAAGACAAGATAGCCTCCTCCCCACTTGCCTTTCAGTCCCTAGAATTTGACTTTACCCATCCAAACCAGTCCTGTACTCTTTCCTAACTAGCAGCATAGGACATGTGAGTTAAGGATAGTAGTTGTCTGTGGTTTCATACTCTCCCACCCACTGTTAGGACATTCCCTCTCCCCACAGACACACACAAACAGGACAGGGGAGCCATCCTCCCCCCTCCATCAATTTCTCTCCTTTATCCCTGTTCTCTTCCCCTTTTTTCTTTGCTGCTATGCATCTATACCTGCTCTGGGAACTGTTTTTTTAGTACACCTGTGCCTTAACCCCTACATTTGTACTACATTTCTCTAATATTTACTTTTAACCAGAGGGAGGAAGGTGAAAGGTATCACCCTGGCTTTTTGGCTCAAACATAACTGGTCTGTTTTTCTGCTGCCCTAGTGAGCTGGTAGGAGAAACTACCTCATATTGATGTTGTAGAAGTTTGACCTTAGAAGCTTTTGTGACTATTTCAGTCCTCTGTTCTTTGGTTCATAGAGAAACTTCTGACCTTAGGTAGAGACTCAGCACTTTCCCAGGAAACTGCTGCCTTATCACCTGGTCATCAGACTGGGAAGGAAGGTAGGTGTCTGTGTGTGTGTGTCCATCCGTTCTACCCCTTCCAAATCCTCACCTGTCAGATTATGGATCAGTTTTAGGTGTCTTCAAATTCTCCAATTCTCTCCCATGGATGGAAAATTCCTAATAAAAAACTCTCTGAGACCTTTCTGACTCACAGGCAATAAAGTCAGGGTCTATTGAGTCCAGAGTTCATTCGAAACACCTGGAGTGTATGACTCGATTTCAGCTTCCCCAGGCATAAGACAAGATTATTTCTTCCTGGACAGGAATATTACTTAAGGTTATAAAGGCTCGTAGAACACTATCTCCCAACATGCTCATTAGGGCCGACCTCAGTGTCATTGTGCAGCCTGTTCTCCAGGCAACTCTGGCTGGATCCTAGGGGAACTGAGGACCTCTCTTTCCCAGGGATTAAGCTCTCTTGTTGGAATGCAGTACATTTCAGCCTGACTCACAGGTCTCCTGGGAACTCCTGCCTATATGCATTAGGCAATTCTGCACTTGTCCCATGTCCTAGGTAAAACTGCATTAAAGGATAATCAAGAGAATAAACTATAACACGACTATTTCTGCTGCCGATTTCCTTAAAGAGAGTAATCCTAATAGAAACAATGCCCTCAAAAACTCCAAAACTCTCAATTAATGAAGCAACCCAAATAAAGCACACTAGCTATAGTGTCTCATACAAAGCAGCTGCTCAAAAAAAGCTACTTGTATCTCCTCTATTTTAATTAATTCTATTAAGTGGAAAGAGTAGTATTTCCACCTAGGTCTGTAATGACTCTGGATTACATGCTCTTATCCACTACGCCTTGTTCCAGTATCATTGTTGGCTTTAATCATAAGCAATTTCATAGGTCTAAAATCATCAAGATTTTTGTAGCTATTGTAAATGGGATTGAGGTCTTGATTTGGTTCTCAGCTTGATTGTTTTTAGTGTGTAGAAATTCTACTGATTTTTGTTCTTAATTTTGCATCATGAAGCTTTACTGAATTCATCAATCAAACCTAGGCATCTTTTGGAGAAATCTTCAAGGTATTCCATGTATTAGATCATATTATCAGCAAACAAAGATACTTTGACTTCCTTTTTCAAATTTGGATGTCTTTTATTTCCCTGACTATTCTGGATAAGACCTCCAGTACCATGTTGAATAGGAGTGATGAAAGTGGTCATCCTTGTCAGTCTCTAGTTCTTAGGGGGAATGCGTCCATCTTTCCTGCATTCAGTATTCTGCTGACTATGGGTTTGTCAGATGTGACTTTTATTATATTTAGGTATATTCCTTCTATGCCTAGTTTGTTCAGCATTTTTATCATAAAGCGTTGTGGAATTTTATCAGTTGCTTTTTCTGTATCTATTGAGATGATTGTAGGTTTTTGTTTTAAATTCTGTTTATGTGGTGAATCACATTTATTGATTTGTGTATAACTATCCTTGCATCCCCTGAAAAAAGCCTACTTGATCATTATCAAGTATTATCTTGATAATGTGTATTATGTTTTTGATGTGCTGTTGGATTCAGTTTGCTAATGTTTTATGGATAATTTTTGCATTGATTTTCCCCACGGATATTAGTCTGTAGTTTTCTTTTTTGTGTGTCCTTGTCTAGCTTTGATATACGGGTGATACTTGCTTTGTAGAATGAATTAGGGAGGATTCCTTCTGCCTTAATTTCTCAGAAGAGTTTCGAGAAGACTGATACTAGTTCTTCTTTGTATGTTTAGTGAAATTCAGCTGTGAATTAACTGGTCCTGAGCTTTTGGTTGTTGTTATTGGGAGACCGTATGATTCAATCTCACTACCATTATTGGTTTATTCAGCATTTCTACTTGTTCCTGGAACAATTGGGAGAGTTTATATTTCAGGAATTTATCCATTTTTCTCAAGGTTTACTTGTTTGTGGATTCAAAGTTGTTTATAGTAGTCTCTGATAATACCTAAGATCATATGTAACCAAGGATGTAAAATATGTCTACAAGAAAAACTATAAAACACTGAAGAAAGAAATTTTAGATGACACAAATAAATGGAAAAACATCCCATGATCATGAATTAGAAGAATCAATATTGTTAAAATGACCATGCTGCCCAAAGCAGTCTATAGATTCAATGCAATTCTTATCAAAATACCAACATCATTTTTCATAGAATTAGAAAAAAAATTCTAAAATTCATATAGAACCAAAAAAAATGTCCAAATAGCCAAAGGAATCCTAAGCAGAAAGAACAAAGCTGAAGGCATTATATTACCTGACTTCAAATTATACTAAAATGTTATAGTAACCAAAACAACATTGTACTGGTATAAAAACAGACATAGATCAATGGAAATAAAGCCACACGCTTAGAGCCAACTGATCTTTGACAAAGTTAACCAAAACATACACTGGGGAAAAGACACCCTATTCAATAAATGGTGCTAGGAAAATTGGGTTGCTATATGGAGAGGAATGAAACTGGATCTCTATCTCTCACTGTACAGAAAAATTAACTCAATGGATTAAAAACTTAAGTTTAAGACCTGAAACTATACAAATCCTAGAAGAAAATTGTGAAAAAACTTCCCTGGACATTTGCATTAGTCCATTTGCATTGCTATAAATGAAATCTGAGGCTGGGTAATTTATAAGGAAAAGAGGTTTATTTGACCCATGGTTCTGCAGGCGGTACACAAAGTATAGTACCAGCATCTGCTTCTGGTGAGGCCTCAAGAAGCTTGGAATCATGGTGGAAGGTGATGGGGAGCCAGTGTATCATATGGCAAGAGAGGGAACAAGAGGGATGCTATTCTCTCTTAAACAACCAGCTCTCACGTGGACTCATTACTGCAGGGAGGGCACCAAGCCATTCATGAGGGATCTACCCCCATCGCCCAAACATCTCTCACTGGGCCCTACATCTAACATTGGGGATCTCATTTCAACATGAAGTTTGGAGAGGGCAAACATCCAAACCATATCAACACTGATCTAAGCAAAGAATTCATGACTAACACCTCAAAAGCACAGGCAATCAAGACAGAAATAGACAAATGGAACTAAATTAAACCAAAAAACTTCTGCACAGCAAAAGAAATAATCAACAGAGTGAACAGACCACCTGCAAAATGGGAGAAAATATTTGCAAACTATGCGTCTGACAGGGGTCTAATGTTCAGAATCTACAAGGAAGTCAAACAGCTCAACAACAACAATAAGCAAACAACCCCATTAAAAAGTGGACAAAGGATATGAACAGACATTTTTTTTCTTTCTTTTAAATTGTACTTTAGGTTCTGGGGTACATGTGCAGATCATGCAAGACTGTTGCATGCATACACACGTGGCAATGTGGTTTGCTGCCTCCATCCCCCCGTCACCTACATCTGGCATTTCTCCCCATGTTATCCCTCCCTGACCTCCCCACCCTCTGCTGTCCCTCCCTTGCCCCCCCCAACAGGCCCCAGTGTGTGATGCTCCCCTCCCTGTTCCCATGTGTTTTCATTGTCCAACACCTGCCTATGAGTGAGAATATGCTGTGTTTGATTTTCTGTTCTAGTGTCAGTTTGCTGAGAATGATGGTTTCCAGATTCATCCATGTCCCTACAAAGGACACAAATTTATCATTTTTTATGGCTGCATAGTATTCCACGGTGTATATATGCCACATTTTCCCTGTCCAGTCTATCATCAATGGGCATTTGGGTTGGTTCTTTGCTATTATAAATAATGCCACTATGAACATACATATGCATGTGTCTTTATAATAGACTGATTTATAATCCTTTGGGTATATATCCAGTAACGGGATTGCTGGCTCAAATGGAGTTTCTATTTCTAGATCCTTGAGGAATCGCCACACTGTCTTTCCACATACGGCAGTGTAAAAGTGTTCCTGTTTCTCCACATCCTCTCCAGCATCTGTTGTCTCCAGATTTTTCAATGATCACCATTCTAACTGGCATGAGGTGGTATCTCAATGTGGTTATGACTTGCATTTCTCTAATGGCCACTGATGATAAGCATTTTTTTCATATGTTTTT